ATTTATTTGCCTATCTGACAAAAGAAAAAATAGCTATAAAATAATAATTCATTCACACCAGATGGCTATTGTTGTATTGGCTGTCGTCATTTTTTTTAAATATCTATATATTTTTTTTATTGTTTTCAGAGAGAGGAGGAGCCCACAACCCAGGCATGTGCCCTGACCGGGAATCAAACCATGACCTCCTGGTTCATAGGTTGATGCTCAACCACTGAGCCATGCTGGCCGGGCAGCTGTCATTCTTTTTTAATTTGACAATCTAAGGGAAAAGACGGAAGTGGAAGGTAAGGGCTGGTCACATTGTCCATTATCCAAAGACCCTGTGGGGGGCGCTGTAGTAGGACATCGGTGAGGAATTAGTCCCGAGTTATAGAGAGAGCATCTCTGTAAGCCTCGTAACCCGCTTCCAGGATTATGTGTCAACTGAGACACATCATTTAACCTCCCAAGGTCCCCGTGTGCAAAACAAAGCGAAAGGGAACGATTCTTGATGCTCCTCCCCGCTGATCCTATCAACGTGGGAATCCAGAAGACCTCAGAAGCGGAAAAGAATCTCTAGCCTCAGTGCTTAAAGGTTTGTTTACAATTGTTTTTATTATTTTTTAATGAACACACACAAGGTACCAGGACACCTTAGGCACGGAGGGGTCTGTGTACCATGACCTCAGGCTCATGTGCTAAACACTTCACAAACTGACACAACCCCTCGCACTAATTATTTTCAATGAAACAAAAGATCGGAAATCGGCATCAGGAAAATACACAATATAGTGGAGACTCTTCAAAGTAACCACTCCCAAACTGGGCGTCGTAACGTCCATCATGAACTGGGTACAGATTTGCTCGACGAAGGAGAACCTCATTCCTTTCATTCTCCACGATTCCATTTCTCTGGGTAGAACACGAATGCTGTACATTCCCCGCCATCCCCCACCCCATGCCCTGCCACAGAGACTGTATTTAAAGAAGCATTTATCTCCGCAGGAGTGGCAGCATTTGAGAGGTGGGCACGTGCCGGTGCCCGGCCATCCTTCGTGGGGAAACACAGAGATGCGATGAGAATTGCCCTTGGTTGTTTAGGTGGTTGGTATAAGGAGCCAGAAAGAGAGTGCAGAAGTTAGCACTCGGACATCAAAGGGAGCTTACCCCAAAATTATGGCAGCCACCCCAACACTAAAAAAGCAAGCACGTTTTAGATTTACAAGATCCACCGTAACGAGAAATGCAGCTTCTGACGGCCTTGTGAATTTCTCACGTGCTAGCTGCTCATCGAATCCCGCTATCCCGTTGAAGAACAATGCCACGAGGGCTGTAGTCATCCAAGGTGGACACGGCTCTCTTGTAGAAAACTAGCCACTGCATTTCACATCCTAAGAATGTGGCGAGTATATTACAGCTATGTTACACTGGGCCTCTCCTCATCGACCTAGCATTCCTGTTAGGTGATGTCTGCAAAGCCCTGGAAGAAACATTAACCCACAGTGGCGTATGTATATAGTTGGGAGGATCGGGATGGCAAATCAGAGCCGATGTGTCTTCGCTGTACAGAAAAAATAAAGGTGAATAAAGGGGTGGGACACAAGAGAAGCAGAGGAAATATTTTAACCAGTAAAACCAATCTCGGCTTGAGGGTAGAAAGGTGCCCTCGACCGTCAGTCACTCCAGAGAACCACAGGAAGACGGCCCCCAGCTGTCTTGGGACCCGAGCGCCTCTCAAACCCTGAGAAAGCACGTGGTGAGCCATCATCACTGTGTTTAAGATTTTTGGAGACCGCTGGTCGGGAAAGGGGCACCTTGCAGTCCTGAGAGTCTCGCTTATCGCCTCAAAGCGTGCGGTCTTCAGGCTGCTGCTCACCGCCAGTGGCGCGAGTCCAGAGCTCACTGCCCCTCCATGCAGGACAGTTCTCATGGACACAATGTCAGCCTTTTCTCTCGTCCACACTTCAGCCCCCACTGCTGACCCCTGCCAACGTCGTTTGTCCTCCGCTCCTCACCCCACTCTTACCCCCAATTCATGTCCAAACTGTATCTCAGGAAGGAGTCCCCTTAGCGCCCTCAAGGAAAACGTATTTGAGATCCATGACACTCCCTACTCCCATGGCAATGGCATCTGCTTTAAAAGTCCTGGACCGAATAAATCAAAGAACGTATATAGTTACAGGCATAGTCCATGGACATGGGCAATAGGGCAGTGAAGACCTGGAGGGGTGGAGAGGGGCTGGAAGGAGTGGGGCAAAGTGGGGGGAAATGGGAGATGAAAAAAAAAAGTCCTGGACCGAAACACAAAGCATAGATTTCTCATGGGACCAAATCTGGGTCGTGTCTTGCTGCTGAAAGGAACAGGGAGAATTAGCACTTTGGAGAGCTGTGGGGACACTTCCCTTCTCCCTCTATCCCGCATGTTGTCTACCGTGTTTGATGCTCACCCACAGACACCAGAGGCCACCGAGCACGTCCCATGTTGTTCTGGGGGAGCAGCAACGTCAAATGCCAGACCGCAGGCAGCGAGCCTGAGTTTCACAAGCGATCAGTGTGAGAGGGGCTACACGAAGCGACGTGCCTAGACTCCACAAACTGTGCGAAGTGGGTCTGCTGAGTGCACCTCCCCACAGCAAGCTGAATGGCTATAAGAAATTGTGCTTGCATTTCATTCCATCGGACCCAGTTTCCCGGGACCTCAATCCCCAAGTCCTCCCAAAATATGGCTATATAATTGCTGGCAAATGTTTGCAGATACCATGTCTGCAAATGAAACCCAAATAGAGTATGTACAAAGTTAGTTCACAGAATACCTATCCCATTAGGCTTCTTTGACTAGATCGAAAAGGGATAAATATCTTTCTTAAATGTATCACCTAATCGTCCTGAAAAGCTCAGGACACTTGGGGTAGGGAGTAGGTTTCTATAGATAATGCTCAAATATTTGTTTTTCTATATCAGCGTATCTTCCCCGCGATGGTGCCAATTTTCAAATGGAAAATATGATAGGTGATTCTTTTCAATGCAAAAAAAATATATGGATCCTGTACTTTGAGCCCAATATTTATAGGATGACGCTAACTTCTTGCCCAGTTGACGTGTTGTTAGGTCACTGGGCTCCGAAGAACTTTATGAAGGAGCTTGAGTGTCCTCATGCTCAAATCCACCTTCAAGTGCAAAGACGTCCTTGCACCTCCTTGCTTAGCACGCACCCCCCTGGGGGGTGTTACTCCTCCTCCCCTGCCTTGGGCTGGGGCAACCTCGAACCAAGCACACAGCTCCATGATTACCAGGGCAGCTCAGGACACCCCAAATTGGTCACCTGAGTTACCAACATCTTAAAGCTGAGATGGGTCCTAGATTAGGGGTCGCAAAGTCAACATCTCCTCCGGTGCTTCCAAAGTCCTCTGGGCGGTGACGGACAGGAAGTGTGGATGCCCTGAGGGTCCCCGGGAAAGGTTCTTCCGACATTTCCTCTCCCCATGGCTGGTTCACATCAGCACCTGCTCTCGGGTCTCTGGCAGCCGAAGAGCAATCAGGCCGCCCCCAACGAGAGAAGTGGCAGCCAGAAGGATGGGGACCACTTTGGTTATCCCAACAAAAGAAGCAAAGATGGTGTTTCCCAGGATGGCTCCAAATTTGCATAATCCATTGAGGATGCCAAAGGCTGTTGCCCTGTAAGAGAAGGAGGAAGTGGATGCTGACAGACACCAACTAGACCAGTGGGTTCTCAACCTTCCTAATGCCGCGACCCTTGAATACAGTTCCTCATGTTGTGGTGACCCCCAACCATAAAATTATTTTCGTTGCTACTTCATAACTGTAATTTTGCTACTGTTATGAATCGTCATGTAAATATCTGATATGCAGGATGTATTTTCATTGTTACAAATTGAACATAATTAAAGCATAGTGATTAATCACAAAAACAATATGTAATTATATATGTGTTTTCCAATGGTCTTAGGCGACCCCTGTGAAATGGTTGTTCGACCCCCGAAGGGGTCGTGACCCACAGTTTGAGAACCGCTGAACTAGACGTTCTTTCTCTTCCTCACTGTGGGGGAAGGTGTAGTGAGGATGTGGGAGGGAATTTTCTCCCTTGAATATAAAAGTAATACATTCTCATTTTAGTCAAATTTGGAAATACAGAATAGCATGAAGATGCAGGGATATATAACCCCGCCACTGAAAAGCGATCACAACTATTAACATTTTGGAGTATTTCCTTCAAACTTGCTTTTTTTTTTTCCTTTTCAGACCACAAAGTTATTAAGAATGTGGCTATATATTTATAGTTTAAGTTCTTCTCTATATTTTCTTTTCTGAAACCGTACTACCCTTACAATCCCTAACCCCCAATTCCAGTCTTTTGTTTTCAGAATATTCTTGGATATTTTGACAATTTTATTTTCCAAATAAGGTCTAGATTAATTTTCTCAAGTTCCTGGGGGTGGGGATAGGAGATCTCATAGAATGTTGAATGGAATCTTTTTTTTAATATGTTTTTATTGATTTCAGAGAGAGGAAGGGAGGAGAGAGAGAAACATCAATGATAAGAATCACTGATTAGCTGCCTCATGCACGCCCCCTACTGGGGACTGAACCTGCATCCTGGGCACCTGTCCTGATGGGGAATGGAACCGCGCCCTCTTGGTTCATAGGTTGATGCTCAACCACTGAGTCATACTGGCTAGGCTGAATGGACTCTTAAGTTAGAAAAAATCTAAAGAAAATTTGACATTTTTGTAAGATTAAATCTCCTTAGAATTCAATAAGGTATTTCCTGATACACATTTAAGTCTTCTTTTATATCTCTCAGTAAAGTTTTATGGTTCTCTCCATGTAAGCGTTTCACCTTTCTCATCAAATTGATTCCTAGATATTTTATGATTTCTGCTGTTATGAAATGGATTTCCATTTTATTTCTAATTTTTTAATATATTTTAAAGCCTATATACATTATTAACAGTTCTATTACTGACCATCTTACCACATTATTTTATTGTTCCTAATAGTCTCTTCAGTTAATTCTCTTGAGGTTCCTAGATGTGAACTCGCATCCCATGCAAATAACGATCATTTCTCCTCCCCTTAATTTTTGTAAGACTTAGGCGTTCCCATGGCAACCTACAGCCCAGTACCTCCATCACCAATTTAGGATTTTTTGCAGAATTTCAGTTACCTGCCTTCCCTACCACTTCACAGTCCTTTTTGACCCCAGGTCCCCTTTATCTGCTATTCTTAAAATTCCCAGTTCCTCCTCTGTGAGGAGGAAGAGCTGCCTTGTCCCGAGGCCTTTAAACCAGGTCTCTCCTCACATGGCTTGTGTAAAATAAAAGTACACCCTGGGAGCCCTAATCAGTTTGGCTCAGTGGATAGAGCGTCGGCCTGCGGACTGAAAGGTCCCAGGTTCGATTCCGGTCAAGGGCATGTACCTTGGTTGCAGGCACATCCCCAGTAGGAAGTGTGCAGGAGGCAGCTGATCGATGTTTCTCTCTCATCGATGTTTCTAACTCTATCTCTCTCCCTTCCTCTCTATGAAAAATCAATAAGATATGTTTTTTTTAAAAAGTACACCCTGGGCAACCCGCCACATTCTCTGCAAATGCCCCAAACCATCACCCTCATCCCACCTTATCTCCCTCTGCCTCTTCCAGGCCTGTGTTTACCTAGTTCCTCCCCTTCTCACTTTATCTCCCAGCAGAAGGCGTGTTCTCACCTCTTTTTGATTGCATGATGCATACAGTATTGCCCTCCTACTTTCTCTCCTGGGCATGGTTTCCATGCACCCTTTGCATCTTGCCATTCGCCCCACCCTCGTCAGCCTTGGTCTGCCCACTTCCAGGCCTGTGCCAGCCCCCACACAGGAGAAACTCAAAAACCTAAGAAACGTTCGGTCCATGAGCTCCAGGAAGATCAAGGCGGACCCGGGCAGAATCGGAGCAGGTGGACTTCTAGCTAAAGTCCACACAATCCCAGGAGGAGCC